TATCCATCCCGTCGTGGCTGCTGCCACCTCACAGCCTCATCTGCCGCCCCCCCCATCCATCCCATCATGGCTGCTGCCCCCTCACAGCCTCATCCGCCCCCTCCATCCATCCCGTCATGGCCACCCCTAACTTCAAAATGAAGCTGGTTTAAGTTAGATCGACATACAGCCACCACAGTAGTTAAATTAGTTTTCATGTCCACACTATGCTCCTTGTGTCGTGTCCTCACAAGGAGCGCTTGCAGTGATTTAACTGTCAGTATGGGCATTGTGGGATGGCTTCTGAAAGGTAGCAACAGTCAGTGTAAGCAATGCAGTGTCCACACTGATGCTGTGTCGACCTGATTACATTGACCGAAGTGCTACGTCTCTTCTGGAGGTGGAATTATTAAGTCAATGTAGTGGGTGAGTTACGTTGGTGTAGATACTTACAGAATTAGGTTGACGTAAGCTGCCTTAGGGCAACCTAACCTGTAGACTCAGCTATTTGCATAGTTACACGCTGCACATGAGAAATTCTGTCACTGGCATGGCTGCCTTGGTTACTATCAACATGACCATCACCTTTGTCTCATTTTGAAGAATGTAGCTCGACATGAGTTATCACTTAGTGTGTTTCTCTGCCATTCCTTATTTGTTGTGGTGGAGAAAAGACTGAGAATTTCACCCAAAATGTGTCTGCATCAGAGAATGCAGTTTTTATTTAATGGTAAACTTGTTGCAACTTTGCATGAGCGATCAGCTTCAGTACAGGAGTAACTGGATGAAATTCTATAGCCTGTGCTATACAGGAGGTTAGACTACATCGGGGTCGGCAACCTTTCAGAAGTGGTGTGCTGAGTCTTCATTTATTCACTGTAATTTAAGGTTTTGCATGCCAGTAATACATTTTAACATTTGTAGAAGGTCTCTTTCTATAAGTCTATAATATAGAACTAAACTATTGTTGTATGTAAAGTAAATACGGTTTTTAAAATGTTTAAGAAGCTTCATTTAAAATTACATTAAAATGCAGAGAGAAACCCACCCCCACCCCCCCAGACCGGTGGCCAGGACCCAGGCAGTGTGAGTGCCACTGAAAATCAGCTTGCGTGCCGTAGGTTGCCTATCCCTGGACTACATGATCTAATAGTCACTTCTGATCTTAAAAGTTAAGAATCTGCTTTCAAAACATGAGACTCTATTTGATTTAATCTTCAGTTACTCTAGTTTGTCGGAACAGTTTTTAACCATCCTGCTTTAGAAACAGTCAGCTGAAGAGCCGGCTTCTTATTAACACTGGTTAAGTATTCATTTTGCTTCCTGGTGCACCCTAACTCAGTACACAACTGAGACTTTTCTAGGACAGGAAACAAAGTTGACATTTTAAGAATGCAGGGTGTAAGACTTTTTCTGAGGAAGTTGTTTACCTCTTCTCTGCTGAGTCTCCTTTTTATGACAGAAATTGTCTCTTGTCAAAGGCGGACACTAGTTTTAATAGATAGAAAAAGTGGTATGTCTGGTTTTGTCAGCCTTCAGTTTCTAGTGTTCCTGTGCCAATCTTGAATTCCAGGTTTTAAAAGGACATTGT